CCCCAGGAGGATTCCTGTGAATTCAAGGCCTGTCTAAGGACAAAGTGAAGCCTAGACTAGCGTGGGATACAAAGTAAAACATCTCTCACACAAAAACATCAAATAAAACATCAACAACTAAGAAAGAAAATTTTAGGACCAAGATACTTGTGAGCCTCTCTGTCTCCGCCTGGCCTGAAAGAGGTGGCGAGGCCGTGCCTGGCTTGTGGGGAACTTTGCAAGAGTCTCAGGTTTCCAGCTCCAGTTCTGATTCTTCTGTTACCCGTAGGGTCCCCGAGTTTTGTGAGAGTGTGATCTGCCTGGTTTAGCATCTGGTACAAGTGGGACCCAGACACAGCCATAAGGGGTTGGCTGAGGGCCGGGCTGCCCTCCATATGCTTTCAGAACATACTGTTTATAAAGCAGAGAGTAGCAAGGCCAGGGGGCTGCAGAGCGAGAAGCCCTTCCTCTGCCTGTGTAATCAGGGAGGGTTTTCTGGAGGTGGCACTTGATTATTGCTTACTAAGGAGACCTTGACAGGGAGCAGAGGGAATGCGGACATGCTAGGTGAAAGGCTGCCTGTCAGAACATGTCCACTTCTGGCCAGCCTGCTAAGTAGAGACTCTGGCTACTAATCTTCAAGTCTGGCCAGGTCTAGAGACAGGCCCATAGTATGACTAGGGAAGAGGGACTGTCCAAGGGACAAGGTGGCAAGTGGAGCTACCAACTTTCCCTTCACAGTGGACCATTCCATATGTATCTGTTTCTTTGTCCACAGAAGGGTGCTGGACACACCTTTTGTCCTGGGGTCCCATAGACTTGGTGGTCAGTAACCCTCCCTACGTCTTCCACAAGGACATGGAACAGCTGGCCCCAGAGATCTGCAGGTACAGGGTGGGTAGACTGTTAGAGAAGCTCTACCAAGATCCCTCTATGCTGGAGGACTTCCGCCTGGAGAAAACGGGTGGGGCCCAGAGGGACAGCAGTGTTGAGAGGTGCACGTTAGCGCCCACAGCCTTACTGGGACAGTTTTTGCCTTTGCACTTCTGACTCCTGGAGGTCCCTAGCCTCTCTGAACCTCCGTTTCCTGCTTTGAAAAGCAGCGGTACTTGCAGGACCATGGGAAGGACTTAGCATCAGGCATCGTGATAGAAGGCACTTGTGGAGGAATGTGCCATTTTACACCAGAGAGGGGGGCTGCCCATTTAAGGCCCCATGAGGACTTAGTGGGAAAGCCATCCTGCATTTACAAGGACGGGAAACCCAGTGTAACCACATGTCCCTCCATAAGCCCTGGTGACACCAGCTGGATGCTGGCTCCTCTTTTCTGGGCACATAGAAGTAGTCAGATGAAGAGCAGAAGCAGCTGGGTTTTGAGAGAGCCTCATGCCCTGAGAACTCTCTGTCAGTGGAACTCCCAAGTCCATCTGGCCCTGCTCTGTGGGGAGGTCTGCAAGAGCGGGCAGGAAGGTCAGACTTTAGGAACCACTTGCTAATGGATCCTCAGCTTACCTCTCCACCCAGAGTCTAAGTCCCAGGCCCTTTGTGAATGCCCCCTGGCCTGTCAACCCTTTCACTTACCCTACCCCAGTCTCTTACCTGCCACTGTTTTCCCATTCAGCTATGAAGACCTGGTGGCCCTGGATGGTGGTGAGGAAGGCATGGACATCATTACCCACATCTTGACCTTGGCTCCCCGGCTATTCAATGTCTCTGGGTATGGACGCCACCTCCACTTCCACTGTATAATTGATGTGTCTTGGCAATCTTGTGCCCCTGCCTCTAGCAGTCCAGACAATGTAGAAGCACAGGTCCTGGCCCTCCCTAGCTGAGCTGACCTCTCTTTCCACCATGTAGAAGCATCTTCTTAGAAGTGGACCCAAGACACCCAGAGCTTGTCAGCAGCTGGCTTCAGAGCCGGCCCGATCTGCGCCTTAGTCTTGTGGCTGTACGGAAAGATTTCTGTGGGAGGTAAGGCTACAGCTCCCGTCGCCCTACTCCTTCCGTGCTCTCTAGCAGCCCCCACCACTTGTGCATTCCTTAGAGCGTAGATGGTACCCAGATACTCATCCTGTCTCCCCAGGCCCCGGTTCCTGCATGTCCGGAAGTCTGCAGTATAGTGTGGCTACTCTGAACAGCTGGCCAGGATTCCAGTCTGCTGGGGGCCTGGCTGACCCTGCATGGAATACTGCTCAGAGAGAGGCAATAATGCTGTCCAGAACCACAGGCATGGCCCGTGGTTCTGCGATTCCCCACGATGGAAGTTGCTAGGAGACTTGGAAATAAGGATGGAGTGTTCTTTCTGGGGCAGCAAAGAACAGAGACTCAAGAGCCCAGCTCTTTCTCCGCAGTGTCACAGGATACCTGGAGTTCCTGTTGGTGAAACTGCTGAGCAGATATTGGGAAATGCAGCCAGTTAAGTACTGAGAGAACAATAAATGGTAAGCCAGTGTTTTGTTAGCAGTATCTGTGGGCCCTTGTCCTCTGTATAGGATTAGGCCTGAGAGCCTCCTACCCAGTAAGTCAAGCAGACTGTGTGATGGGTTGGGACCCAGTATAAGGAGAGCACATAATGGGGATAGGGGTATGAGGCTTAATCCTGTCCTTGGACACTGTAGGGACTGCACAGAATAGCTTATTCTTTGGGTTAACATCGTCTACCTCCAGCCTGAGTATTCCTATATACCCTTCCTTGACTGGGTCTAGATTGAGCATGGGGGCCATGTCTGAGGATGAGGGTGGAGTTGAGGGTTTTTTGACACATGATCCTGGGGTTGCATGCCCACACTAATGTCAGTGAAGGTTTGAGACAGTAAGGTGGAAAAAAAAACCCACAGGACTTTTGTTTGCTTTCATTGAACTTCCTTTCCAAATGTGGAAATTCAAATTTGGAGTTCAAATAACCCACATAAATCTCCCCGGCTGATGCACCCAACCAAGTGTGATCATTGAATTGTGACCTTTGCTCCAGCTCTGAGCAGATTCACAGCTACCAGGAGGCCCAAAGATCAGGTACTGTCAACAGCAATAGGAAACTTCTCAGTGGTGAGTGTTGATGCAAGATTGCATCTGGGTAGATCATCAAGTGTTGAAGACTAAACATGTCCATTCTACCTGACTCTCTCCTGCCCCTAGCATTTGCAAAGGCCTGACCTAACGTGCAACAGCCAGAGACAGTGTGCTCTGATAGGCAACAACACCACCAGAGCCAAGACAACTGTGTGTCAGGTTACAGCTGAGTTGGACCCAGTTACCGCCTTTCTCCAAGGTATGGACTCTTCTAAGTCCAAGAGTAGTACAGGAAATAGCTTCACTTTATTCTGTTCTAGATCACCAAAGCAGAACATGCATGCTGGCATCTAAATACCCACAGTCCAGGCAGGAGGGTCAAACTGCTAAGAGAAGGCCTGCCTGCAGTCCCATGGTACAAGGTAGCTAGACTGAGAAAGGAAGTCAGGCCCTCGCTTTCTGGGAGTCTGTCTTTCTGGACTTATATCCTGTTTAAATGATGCCTGCTGCTGTGGTTAAAGGGTTTATTTGTGTTGGCAAAGGCTATACTGCAGGTATCAGAGCCCAGCATCTGGCCCTGGTGACCTATCCTATGTCCAGCACTAGATATGTGGCCCTCAAGCTGTCTCTGGCTTCCCTTGAAGTAGAGAGCCTGGGCTTTCTCTCACGACTGTTCCAGAAAGAACCTGGGAGGGTAACATAGGGTACAACCAGAGCAAGGCTCCTCACCTCCTGAGCCTCCTATGCCATTTGCCCTTTGCTTGCCAAAGCCTGTATGAAAATTGCCTTCTCTCTCTTGCCTCTGCCCTTTGGCTCTGTCTCTTTTCAGACATCAGGCTACCCTGACCTCACAGCCATTTGTTGCCCTCTCATCTCGCAGCTTGGGTTATACTCAGTGCTGAGTTTTCTGACAGTTTTACCCCCCTGGCCTCAGTCCTGTTTCTGAGGTAAGGCCTGGAGAGCCTGCGGGTATGGCACCCAAGAGAGTACAGTGGTGGAGAACGACAGTGGAGGGCAGTTGGGGTCACTGGAACAGGAGCCACCCTTGGGACAACTTCCTTCCCAGAAAACTGTAGGGCTTGACTCCATTGGGATAAAAGTCCAAGCCAAGTAGAGTGGCAAGGCAGGGCCTCTAGAATGTAGCTTCTAGCTTAGTTGGGCTAGACACTGAGTTGCCATGCTGGAGCCATATCGACCCAGGTTTGGATTCTAGAGGCTGTCCCTTACCAGGATGTGACCTTGGGCAGATGACTTCGCCTTATTTAGTTTTGGCCTCCAAACCTTGGGAAACAGGGCCAAAGTGCTTTACCGCAAGGATGGTTATGAGATTTTCTTAGTACATTGTGGGTGTTTCTGTTGCCTTGAGGGCAGACAGGGAAGGTCCTGTACCCTGCTGGGTCAGCTCAGCACCAGTATGAGCCAGGCAGAGATATGGCAGTCAGCAAAGGAAAGATGGCAGGATTTTAGTCCTGGGCTATTATTGGTGACTCCACCCTCTGGAGATGGAACCACCAGGAGCAGCCTCTTCCTTTCCTCACCGGTTCTCTCCATCAGGGCTATGGCAGCCAGTGGCTCCACTCTGGAAAAGTCAGACTCAGTGCCCTATCCTCTTTCTCCTAATGCTAGTGCCGGAAGCTTGACACAAGTCAAGGAGTCCTTTGGGGACAGTGCAGGAGGATGTGGTACAAATGGTGCTACCCAGGCTCTGCAGGTTCTACAGGCCCTGAGGTCTTGAGGCCAGATCCTGGGAGAGCAGTCTGTCTCCTGCTAGAGCAGGGGGGAAAGCTATGGTCTTGCCTCACAGTCGGATATTTGTATAACTTCCTATGGCGTATTCCTTGTGGCCTATTCAGCTACCTTATTAAAATGTGTCCCCAGCTACAAGAAATACACCATTTCTTGCAGGCCCGCTTTCATGGACCCTGGGCATCTGTTCCCAATCTCTGTTCTAAGCTTTAACTGGATCCGCAGTACCTGAGCATGGTCTCTGTCTTGCAGAATGCTGTCTGAAGAGGTGGGGGAGGACATCTCCGAGAAAAGCCCCCAGGGTACCCCTCTCTGGCCCCATAAGTAAGCTTCTATCAGGGTAAAGGGTTTCACCACTGATGGGCCTGAGAACTGCTGGGCAGACGTGGGAAACCCTTCAGTCTCTGCAGCCCAGCCCCATCTTTCCCCATCCGCCTTCAGATTCTTTACTGCCCTGGACCTCAGCTACCCTGCGGTACCTTCCTCCAGACACTTCCCCTTTCCCCAGTAATGCATCCTTCTGGAGTTCCCTTGCCCATCACTGCCAATCCAGGTCATACCTGCTGAGTCCTAACACACTTGGCCTGACTTTGTGCCTCCCCCTACCCACATCTCTGTCAGTACCCTACCCGTATATCTGGCCCCTGAATTCAGAAACCTTCCAGTCTCTTTCTGGGAGCCCCTGTGAGACTGGCACATGCAGGTTTAGTAAAAGTCCACCAATAAACTGACCCCATATCCATTTTCTAGATGAGGCTAGAACTTCCCAAGTGGCCCACATCTGACCTGACAATAGCACTCACATATTCTAGTCAGTAGGGAGAGGAAATCATGAGCTCTGGCTTCTTGCCTGAGCCAGGCAGCTGTTCAAGTTGAGCCATAATCTCTTTGAGGACTCCAGTGCACCTGATCCCCGCCCCGCAGCATGCCAGGAGAACAGGCTGTTCTTGGCGGCAGCAGGTGCAGGCGCCAAGCTTCCTGGAGCTCTAGGCCTTAAGCAGTCAAGGTGGTGGCTAGGACGGTTGGCCTGGTCTCTCTTTGTGAACTCTCTGCCCTGAACAAGACCCTGGGTTTGAGACAAAACAAAACAACTCTATAGGCAATATAGTGGTGATTAAAGACACCTGTGTCCTCTTTCCCCAACACATGACTATTGCCTTATATGGTACAAAGGATGTTGCCAGATATGAATAAAGATTATATGTGTGTATGCCTGCGTGTGGTATGCATGTCTTCATATGAGCATGCAGATGTGAATACATGCATTGGGGAGCAAAGGCCTAATCACCACCATGGTTTGAGACAGGGCCTTTCACTGATCTGGATCTCATGGATTACACAAGTCCCAGGACTCCTGCCTCCATCCTTCCACTCTGGGGTTACTGATGTGTGCAACCATCCCTAGCTTTTGCGTGGGTGCTGGGAATGCTAACTCAGGCTCTCGAGTTCTTGCAGCAGGTAGTTTGCCAACAGATCCTTCTTCTCAGACTTGTGACTGAAGATCTGAAGAAGGGAAAGTTGTCCTGAGTTGTTCAGGTAAACACATGATTCACAGGTGTCTATAGAAAAGAGACAGGTGTCAGAAGTGAGCAGAAGCAGAGGTCAGTGTTGTGTGATTGCAAGAGGAGCCAGCCAAGAGCCAAGGAATGCAAACAGCTTCTTCCCTAGAGCCTCAGGGAAGTATGCATCCCTGCCCACATCTTCACTAAACACGGTGGAATTGATTTTGGATTTCTAACCTCTAGAATTATACAGCGTAGTTGTGTGTATTAAGTTACAAAATCTATGGTAATCTTTTACAGCAACTATAGAAAACTAATACAGATCTTGATGCTCCATGGAGCTTGGTTAGTCACTTTGTATTCTTTTTGTAAAATATTTTAAAATTACATTCATTTACTTATTGTGTGTGTATGTGTGTGTCCATCCGTGCCACAGCATGCTAGTTTGTGTCAGAGGAAAACTTGTAGGAGTCGTTTTCCACTGTGTGTGTCCTGGGCTTAAACTCCATTCTTCAGGCTTATTTAGTCTTGAGTACCTTTACCCAGAGTTATCCTGGCCAGCCTGTCACTTAATTTATATTCTTGTGACAAAATCTCTTACAAGGAGGAAAGATTAGTTTGGTTCATTGTTTCAGCTCAGGATTGGCAAGCTCTGCTGGGCACGTGACAAAGCAGAAAGATGGTGGGGGAAAGCGCCTCACCTCATGGCAGCCAGGAAGCAGAGAGAGAAAAGGGTCCTGAGACAGTATGTGCTTTCGTGGCTAGCCTTGGCTGTCAACTTGATGCACCTGGAAAGAGGAGCCTCAAGTGAAGAATTGTCTTGCCAGACTAGCCTGTTTTCACATCTGTGGGCTAGTTTCTTAATGCTAATTTATGCTGGAGAGCCTGCCCACTCTGGGAAGTACCTTCCCTAGCAGGTGGGCCTGGGCTGTGTTAGAAAGTGAGCCTGGGAGCCAGCCAGTCAGCAGTGTTCCTCCTCTGTCTGTGTGTCACTTCCTGCCCCCAGGTTCTCAATACTTGAGTTCCTCTGTGCTGAAATAAACCCTTCCCTCCACAGCCGGAAGTGGGAGGTTTCAGTCGATGTTTTTATCACAGCAACTGAAACCAAATGAGAGCACACACTTTTCTGTAGGTCCCAGTTTCTTACTGCCTCCAACCAGGACCAGCCTCTTAAAGTTCCCACCGCATCTCAGTCACACCGCTAGCTGG